ATCTGTGTCTAAAGGTTCTTTTGATACAGTAGGCAGTTTTACAGGTTTGGAAGGGGCCAGACCCTAAAGCTATCTTGAAAGTTATTCTGCAGAAGGGAGCCACGGAGTCCACTTTGGCAGATGTGTGCTGCAAACTGGAGCGAGGTTTTCTGTTTTGTTTGTATTCAGTGAACTCTGAAGACCAGCCCAAATCAGATGATCAAGTTGCCTCTTGCAAAGGAATGTGGGGAGACTGAGGTCTGTGACATCTCCAAATTCCAGAGCTGTGAACTGACCTGGCTTTCAGGTTGAGTATTGTCCTGTATGAAGTTGCAAATGTGGAAGGAAAGACCCAATGCTTATTGCTGGTGCTACTAAAAGCAGCATTGCTCTAAGTTGCAAGCTAAAGTGCTGGCCTTTAGGTCACCACACCGTGTCGGGTAAGAGAGTTCTACTCCTTGAGGAAGTTAGGGACTTGGAAACATTACATTTCTTTTACTCTAACCTCTATCATGCACATTAACAAAATGGAGAAAATTCCTGGGTTCACCTTTTAAGCGCAGACAAGTAAATGTATCTTCTATAACGTCTCATGCCCAGAAAGGCCTAGTGAGTAATGATTGAAGGAGAAGCTTTATTTTAAAATAAGGGGATGTCACAGACTGTAGGAAATAGTCATCTCTATGGAAATATTTGTACAGAAATTTAGATACTTACAGTCCCAAAGTTGGGGGTCCAATTAGATCCCTAAACATTTTCTCATGTAGAGAGGCATATATATATTAAAGACATCACTCTATAAAATGTCTCTACACTTATATATAAAAATATGCATTTTTACATATAAAGTACCTGTAGATGTCGTATATAAATATATAATATATATCACCACAGAGGAATATATATGTAGAATATGTGTTTCCTTAAGAATAGGAAATCAAGCTCAAGGGCAAAAGGAGCTGACTATAATTTATTAAAGGCAAGCATGCCAATGACTCGGGGTGATGGGGCATCTCTAGAGCCATTGTGGCAATTACTTCAGCCTATTCAGTGTCTCCTACAGGTACTGATACATGACCTTCAAGGGAAACACTGTTTCATCATGTCCCATCTTATTTTCAAGTGGAAAAATAAGACGGTGCCAGGACTTGGCAGGAGGCTGGGGCAGGAGGATGTGGTATGGTGGATGGACATAATGGGGGTCCCCTGCACTCGGGGTTCTCCAGCTCCCGGGTATTCTGCAGACCATGTTGGATGAGGGAGTTGGGGCATGATATCACTGCTACATGCAACATAAAAACCAAAAGGGGGGAAAAAAAGAAACTGAAACTGCACAGAAAATAAAAGAAGTTTCTCTTCTAGAGAAAGACAGGGGGAACTGGACTCCGGGCTGCTGGGAACCCGTTTTACTCACAATATATCACTATCAGTGTGCAGTTAAAATAGAGTAGGGGCCGTATTCCAAGGCAGCACAGAGGAAAAAAATAAATCAAAAAATATGTCAATGATTATAAGTTAAAGAAAATTCCTTCAAACACATCAATTTAGACATGACTTGTCCTGCAGGAGTCCACCCTTTGGCAAACTTTTAGAGGCTGGGAGAGAAAACGCAAATGGTTAGGCCAGGTTTGTTGTACAGAAAAAAGGAAATGAGTAAATAGTAGACTCTGAGAGCTTGCTCGTTGGCCAGATGGCTGAACTGGACTCTTTTCCTTGATGAAGAGCTATGAAGAAATGGAAAGAAATGCAAAAGTTAAACTGTACTATCACAGAATTCCAGAAAATGGACCTCTATACTCTATATGTCTCCAGACCATCTTAATTGATACGGTGAAGGTTACTGAATGAAAGGGATGGGGAAGTGGAGGAGGGGTGGGAAGGGCTGGATGTAATGAGGGTTAGGAAGTTGTGGACAGAAACCAGAGACTGTGAGCTCTGGCCTCACAGGGAGGTCTCATCCCAAAGTGAGTTCTTAACACCTGGCCTAAGATGTTTGGGCAAATAATGATGTGAGCCAGCTGCCCTCTGCAATGCACAGCACCAACAATGTGTGTTCCAAAGCCGGGGGATCCCCTAATGAGTTATAAGAAATTCTAGCTCCTTCTAATGAAGGTCTCTTTGCAACCCAAACCTATCCTTCCCAATTTCCTCACATGCCTGGAATGCCTCTAATAATTCATTTTATTCTAACCACCCCTGACACATACACATTCGTAACATGGGTTTCTGTGGCCTTTTAATTAGGAAGGACAATACTGGGACAATTCTGGTTGCTACCAAATATTAACATAGCAGCCAAGGGCCACTATTAGATGAGGAGCCCAAGGCAGATGTGGCCGAGAGAGGGAGGGAGGCCCTGGTCACACTGGCTTGGCTTTACAAAAGCAGTTCTTTGGCAGCAATCTGTGCATGCATGATGGGCAGTGATATCCTTCATAAGTAGAACCAACATTAAGAGAAAAGAAAAGAACAAAATTATTTCAAATACTTATGTGCCCTACCCTACAGGAGAAGTTAAAGTTAGCTACTGTTGGCTTGCCTGAAACCAACATTAAAACACACCATGGCAGTTGAATCCTCATTTCGAGGGATTTTAATAATTGTCTTCTGGGTTCCACTCTAGTAACCAATAATATTCACTGCTGAATCAGAGCAGGCATCAGAAAAACTTTCTCTTGTACTTCCACCTTTGTGTCCATTGAGTCTTTTCTCCGTTAAGTCATCAGGGAGGTCCATGATGATTCAATTTGCTAGCTTAAAATATTCTAATGGTTTCATATTATGAGCCTAATATCAAGTGTCTTACTCCATTCCCTGCATATTTTCTGACACTACTATCTTCCCAAACCCACCAATCTCAGGGACCTCCCTTTCCTCAAACACAGCAGACTTACTCCTCTCTCAGCATTTTCCCTTGTAATTCCCTAGACCTGGACTTCATTTTACCTCTTTCTAGACCTTTCTGGCTAAAGCATCATCCCCACATGCTCCTCCAACTCAGCAGTCTCTGCTCCCATCTTGCTTCTGTGTGGGTGTTTCTCACTGTGTCCATAATCATTTTTTGTCCCCATTCACTGGAGGGAAGGCTGCACAAGGCCAGTTACTAGTTTGTTCATCCACTCCAGCTCTATCACCAAAAATGGTAACTGGAACAATAAAATAACTCAAAAGGTGGAGAAATGTAGTCCCCAGTCCCCAAGGAACCAGGCTCTCCAGTGAACATCTTGACATGAATTACAGGTCTTACGACTCCTGCATTTCTGAACCCTCTCCACTACAAGCTTTGTTTCAACTCTCTTGCATGTGCTACTTTTTCTAATTTACTTTATCCCAGGATGTTGTATTTCTGGTGGGGGGAATGATCCAGGATAGGGCTGGCCAGCAAATCTGAACTTTTGTGTTCAAAGCCAACCAAGCAGTGGGAATGGTGGTACCTGCTGTGACGAATCGTGGAGTTTGGAGGATTGAACAGGAAGTGCATTTTTCTGCACTTTGCATGATGGTAGACAGTCATCCTGTAAGTTGTCAGTACCAGAGTAGTGGAAGGCCCTGAAAAGTTAGAGCCTTTTGCTCTGATATGTCACAATTGGAAAAAGGACTCGGTAGACTGTATATCTTGAGTAAATTTAGCAGAAGGGAACTAAACAGTGAACCTGAGACACACAAAACACAGGAAACGGTGAGATTTTGACAGAAACTGACCTAGAGATTGAGGTCTTTACTATGCTCCAGCAGAGCAATATTTATATCTGATGTATGTAACATTTAGCATTTCTCCCTTGAGGAGAAAAGTGAAAAATATATGCATTTAGATCAGCCTTCCTTACAGTTTGTGGTTCTATGTGCACTGGAAATCATTATGCAAAAACATGTCCTCCCCATGGTCTGAGCTCCCCTCTCATCCTCCTGTCCAGTCAGCTCCAATCCCATGATGGTGCTGTCTGGTTTCTGCTTGTGAAAAATTATTTTATGGCCTTTTTTGTTCTCACTTATAAGACTCAAGGACACCCATCTAGCTCTTCTCTGTTACAAAACAAAAAGATTAGCGCCCTTAGGTTCATCTGAACCCCTGTCAGTTGAGTCTATGTTCTCAGCAATCTCATCCTCTCACTAAACTTGGAAACTTGGTTTCCGCTTTCAGTAAAATAGAATAAATAACACCCTCTGCCAATTATACAGGGTTATGGTGAAGATCAAAGACAATAATGATCATAAGGAGCTTTGAAAACACTAAATCACCGTATGAAGAAATGCACCATTATTATTGTTTTCTCTAGTTTGTGAACGATTTTTATTAGGCAGTACACCGTAATTACTGCATAAGGCATGGTTTTCTCAAGGCATAGCCCACTTTAAGTATTGACTTCTTGGGAACTCGTGATCCAACATTCCCGACTTACCATGTTTTTCTCAAGAAGCCCCGCTGGCAAGCTCGTTTGGAAGTGGTTTGAGACAGGATAGACCAAAAATTACTGGGCCCAATCTAAGGACCAATACCATGCTTGAGGGTGATGGGGGCAATGGCAAACAAGTTTCACTGGTGATGGCCACATTCTTTTCTTGGAACAGTCAGAGCGCATCCGATGGAAAACTCTGGCCCTTAGTACCAAATGTCAGTTCTTGGTAGATCAAGCACTCACACTCAGTTTCCCTCTCAGTACAGTCACTGCTAGGCTTGGTGGTCCCCCATTCACTAGACATCACTATGCAAAACATTCCCTCATCCATGGTCTTAGCCTCTTCATACTTACTATGTTCAACTGGACACATTTACCTAGGCATCCAATTAGAATCAAGAGGTACTAGGTTCTCTACTAGTTGATGGTGGTGCTTTTTCATCCTCTGCTCTAATATTGTGAGGACAGGTATTTATTTCATGTCTCTTTAAACTGTTGGATGAAACATAAACATTTTCAAGAAAACTCTTGATGTTTAGTGTTTCTCATTAAGAGGCAGAGGAGATGGGAAACGAAGTTTGGAAAGGAGGAGAGGGAGGGGAGGGAGAAAGAAGCACTACTTACGCCGTTTGCAGCCACATTTTTTTATTCTTTTGGGATCTGTGATGTCATCATGACAGGCCTTGCAGTAAAAAAATGCCCTGGAGAAAGAGAATGGAAAAACTGACACATTTCATAATCCACCCAAATGAAATGAGTACCACATTTCCTCCACTGTGGTGCCAAATTAATGAAACACGCCAGCACTAATTTCCTTTAATCTCTTGAAAGGTTTAGACGTTTACAGACGGAAATGTTTGTTGCAAGACCATTTATTTCAAACACAGGACTCTGCGATTTGAGTTAGTACTTCTTTTAATAAACTTTCATTTGTAAAGGAATGGGGGAAAAGGTTGGCCTGTGACACACTGGGTTTGTTCATTTGTCTTTCAGTTTTTCAGCCCAGTATTAGTGTTATTCAATCTGATCATAAGGGCACCAGCCCTGGGCTCTTGCTAAGGAAGTGCAACCTATCTCTGAAACCCTCAAGGGTCCAGTCCAATATATATTTAAGGGAACACAAAGATGCCATGCTTGGGTCAAATAAAAATATTAGCCTTGCCATTTTGAAAGCATTTCCTTTCAGTCAAAGTAGAAAAGGATGAAAACCAAAAGCTGAGTCAGAGGGCTGTCAGCTCCATTTTGGGCTTTCAGATCTTCTGCTCACTCTAAAATTAGATGGGTCAGCACCCATACTCTCAGTATATATACTAAATGGAGGCCTTCTCACCACAGTCAGAGAAATTTCTCTGACTACTGGAATGGAGTAGACAGAGGCATTATAGGGTCAGGTGAGCAGAAGACTCGGAGGAAGCAATGGATCAGATGTAAGTCTCCATATGGGGTTACAAAGTACAGTGTCTGGGTCAAAGATACTTTGCATGAGAAAAGCTGAGCACTAACAAAAATGTTCAGTGCCTAGAACAGCACTGCGGGGCCATATCCTTTCACTACTAAGAAGATGTGAACTTCACTTAAATTGTCTTATAACTGGATATGAAGACTAATAAATTTTCTGACTTATGTCCCCCACTCCACTCAACATTAAATTCAATGTGAAGGACCAACATAGTCTTTCCTTGACAAAGACTAGGAAGAAACAAACACTATACTTAACCAACTTTTATGTGTAGTTCCCTTTTCCATGTATTTTGGGGGTGGTGGGGGGGGTAAAATTTTCACTTAGGATTAGCACTGTTTGGAAATCATTGTTAAACTTTCTGGGAGAGATATTGGAGATCACACAGTGAAGTTTCTAGGACTCAATGTCCTTATCTTTAAATCAAGGAGGTTGTCATGACCTGCCCAAAGTTGTGCTGGAACTTGGTTGGTTTCACGGCTTCTAAGTTCAATGCTCCTTCTGCTCTTTCAGCTCATTCACTATTGCTCTAAATGTCAGTTTCAATTCACATTGAAAAAAAAAACTAGAAAAGATAGTTGATTGCACTCAATGACAACCAGCAGTGATCTGCTTGAAGGGGGAAGAATGTTAAAAAGAAAGCAAAATTTTTTCCACTTCCACTGGCTGTTTTCTCCCCTATCTGATGGCCCTACACATAATGTGAATGATAACAATAATAATTGTTAATATTTATAGGACACAGTCTATCATCCATGTACTAGTCTTAGCATTAAATAAGCATTAATGTACTTGATCCTCAAGTGATTCTTTGAAGGAATTATGGTTATTATCCTTGTTTTCCAGATAAGAGAATTGAAGTAGAGAGATTAAGTGATCTGCCCAAGGACACACAGCTAACAGTGGCAGTACCAGAATTCAAGCCATGCAGTCTAGGACCAGAGCCAATGGTCTTTAACACATCTCTGCTAAAGAGATAATCAAATGAGTCTGGGTGGTTGACTATTAAGAAAACATAAAGTCTTCATAAATTGCTTCATGATTTAGGCCATGATCCTGTGAAATCCTCACAGGTCCAGGCAAGTAAAACTCATGTGTGAAAATGGGATGGGACTGAGAGTTTCTGACGACCTAGAGACACATTACCCAAATACAAGGGACACTGGAGCACCAGCTGAATTTTTCCAAGTGGTGCTTTGCTGCAAGCACCGACTACTCCCCAACCCTTTCGTGCTCATGGGGCAAAGGCCATTTCCTGCATACGTGACCTTAGCATCTGAGAGAGGCTGGGGCAGAGAAACAGCTGTGTTGACCTATCTCACTTCACACCTATGCCTATGGATTCCAGTGGTCTTTTCATATTTTATACTTGCCCATGGGCCTCCTGCCTCAATTCTCTCTCCTTTCCTCTCCTCTTACTTTCATGCTCACCCCATCACCACTGGTACCCCAGGATGGTGCCTCTGCCACACGCATACTCAGAAGGACCAGGTTTCCCACTGTGTTTGGCCAATGAAAGGAGCCAGAAGACTGGGGGTAAGAAGAAAGGAGTTCCTCCCCACCAAGTCATAAAATCTTAGTGCCCATTTCTGATATGACTCCCACCTCTCTCTCCAGGAGCCCTCCCATACCTCCCCTTAAACTAGTGATGCTCAGCTAAAAGTGACTTCCCTTTCTTGCTAGCTCTGGGGTTCTTTCCATCCCTTGTTGGCTTGTGTTGACTCTGCCCACAACTGTGTAGAGTTCCCTCATATATCCTCCTTCTTTGTCCCATTTAAATACGGTGTCCATTTTTTTCCCAAGTTGCTGACTGATAAAGTCACCAAAGGTATCTCAGCCCTTATCTGCCAAAACTCCAGAATCATACCCAATCACCTTTATGATAGCCCCATGTGTGCATATGGTACCTCTTCTCTATTTCATAAGGCTGCAGTGAATTCTGAATTCCCTCCATCCTTGTTCCTCCTCCGATTCTCACCATCTGAGTCGTACGGAGCTATCATCCATCCAAGTACATATACGCCCAACTCAGCTCCACTCTTGATTCCTCTTTTTACAAAACCCTCACCTCTTGCTTCTAGTTCATCAATAGGTATCATGGATCCTCCAAAAATCTAATTTTGGAAACTATTTTTTTTTCTGAATTAGTCTCACTTCTCTTTCCTTTCACTCAGGAATCTAGCACAAGTCAGCACTTCTCACCTACACTCCGACTCCTTCTGCTGCCTCTTCTGTTCCATTATACTCTGTTCTCTACAAGGTAGGCATATTAAGCCCTCTCCTGCTTAGAGTCATCCATGGCTCCACTTTTAACCAGCCTTGCCTCTAGACAAGTCCTGGGCAACTACAGAGGAAACCCCTGCTCTTTAACCTCATCTTGCCACCCTATTCCTCGGGCCACATTTTTCTTGTCTTCAACTCCAAGAATTTAACAAACCTCTTCTCACTATGGCTCCTCTTCACTTCTGATCTATCTCTAATAGATTCTTTCCCATGAGATATTTATACTCAGATATGCTTTGAGCAGCCTTCAATTATTTCCAACTGAAACCAGTGATTCCATTGCACTAATTCTCTGCATCATATATGAACAAAATTGCAACTCTTCCTCTCTGGAACATGAATCCACAAAAATAGGGACATATCTCCAGTGTTCATCACTGTCTCCCTGGTAGCCTAGAATGGAGTGTTCTGGAGAATGAAAGTCCTGCAGATAATTGATGAATGAACATGAGGACATTTCCCAGTAATGGTAGAACCACATCTTTTTCGTGAAAAAATGTAGTGAGAATTTTTATACAAAGGTTATGCCATTCTCCCTTTGGAAAGTAATTAATTTTTTTGTTGTGATTTAGAATCATACCTGTAGGTCATGTTTATGAGTTACCACCTTGTGACTCATATGAATTACTAGAGCTAAGTGAGTTAATAGAAAAATATTAAGAGGCAAAGAGTAAAGGACTATGCCTGAATGATCTTCCCAAAGTGACCTTTCTGGGCTACACTGGATTGTTTTGATCCCCTTTCTTTAAAACACTGCATGTCAAAGTGTCTATGAGCTAGAATCCATTATCTTCTTTTGTTACTTTTTTTTTCGAAGCAGAGAATAAAAATTCAATACTAGATCATCATAATCTGCTTTTCCATATTTATAAAACTTGTTTTGTTTCATTCAAGTCTCCAATGTCCTTTCTATGGTTTTCTGCAGTCTTCATCTGTTTGAAATCCCTTAACTGACAGCATTTGCTCTGACACATCACACACCACAGAAAATTACAGGCTGGTGTTGTAGCTGATTGTGTCAGCATGTATTTGTGAATACCATAAAGCACTGAAATGAGACACATTGCACTCCCTAATATAGGAGGCAATTTGTTTTTTGGACTGCCTGGCATTTGTGACATTCATTAGTGAGAGATGCAATAGGAAATAGAATTACACAAATGGGAGCTTCATGTTATATTTGCTATCTGGGAGGCGCCTGTGATCTATGGTGTTGCAGGGCTCCAAGTCTCTGGTAGGTGGAGCTGAGATATTTCTCCATCCTTTGTGTCTCTCAGTCTGGGCATTAGAATACAGCCTTCTCTTTCAGTGGAGCAGGGATGGGGTTAAGTCCTAATCACCCACACTTTCCACCTTTGGGTGAACCCAGTTCTCAAGAAACTACTGAAGAATAGTGAGGCTCCATGAACTGGGTAAAGGGATTTTCCTCTCCTGCATCTGAATAATGGCAACCCATGTCCAATTTGCAGAGGCAAATTAATGCCATTAGAGAGCTCAGCTTTAAGAAAGCTGTTTTTTGCTTTTTTATTTAAGTTTCCATTCTATATTATTTTTAATTAATTTAAAGTTCTTATTACTGATATGGTCAGTTTGCAAGAATGGATGAGGAATGAGAAAATATACAGATGAGTTGCCAGATACCATGATCTCTGCTCAGAATGTCCGGCTTATCTCTTGGCAAATAATGGAGAGTAGTCTCCAGAAACTGGGCTTCCTAGTTTTAAACCCTATTTCACTACTTCGTTAGCAGTGTGACTTTCGGATTTTCATGAACCAACGAGGGTCTCAGTTTCCTCATTTGAAAAATGGGGATAACTCTAGTAATGCTACCTATCTCACAAAGTTACTAAGAGGATTAAATGAGTTTTCATTACTTTGCACCTGGTGCCTTGAGCAGTCTGGCATAGATAACATTCCACATAAGACTTCACTAGAATGATGAAATACTAGTTTTAGAAAAGTAAAGACCATTATTAAGTCACACTTTGCCACCAGCTTGTATGTTATGTGTGTCTGGTAATCTCAGTTTTACAAAGAGAGAATCAAAGCCTGAGCGTTTTTAGAAGACTTACCCTACAAAGTTTCTTTGAAGAGTAGAAGGAAAGAATGCAGAACTAGCATAAGCCTGGCTTTGAGTAAAACTCATTAAAGACAATAGAGTGGTATAAATAATTACAGCCCTTCCCAATTAATAATTTATTTAAGATAGTTTATACAACATTTTAAAGTGACCTGTTTGACCATTTGAGTCACATTGTTTTTTGCTAGTAAATCTTTCCCAGCTCATAGGGTAGAATAAAAATAAAGGAACCTTGCAATATTACACAATGTTCATCAAGCTATTTCCCAAGCTGTATAAATGGGTTTAGGGATGACAATAAATTTTTGTAAAACATCGAGGCCAATGAAATACTAGAAATCACCTTCAGTGGCTAAAGAATTTAGCCAACAACTTCAACCACTTATTGATAGGAACACAAATAGAAAGAGAATCAATTTAGTATTTCACCTGAAATGAATCCAAACCTTTAAGAGTTCAGTTGGCAACTAAAGTGGAAAAAATGATTAGTAAATATACTCAGATAATATAACTCAAGGAGGCTGAGACCAGAAGTGAGTTATCCTTTGTGACTTTAGTGTAAGCAACTTTTATCTTCAACTCTCTGGAACTCAGTGCTCTTCTTTGGAAAATGAAGGACCAAATATTGAATCCTACTAGCTCTAAAATATTCTTATAATGTTTAAAAGATGTAGAACTGGGCCAGAAAATAAAGGCAGGTTAAAAGACTTACCTTTTAACTTCTTTGGCATCACTTGCGATGAAAAATCCTAAAGTACCTTCTTGGATCTTAAGATGATTTCCAGGATTAATTAATATACTGCTCAGTGAACAAAAAGAAGGAGAAGAAAAAGATATATTTGTGAGATCATTATACAAATAAAATCTTGAAAACTATATAGCATACTGTTAATTTTATAGGGGCCCCACAAGTCTAATGCTTTCCCAATATTTTTTTCTAGAGTCAGATATTCACTATCCTACACATTTAATTGAATAATGCCATCATAAAACTTTACTGAGTAATTTCTAGGAGTAATTTCAGGGATAGCATTCTCCTATTTGTGGTAATTGGAGGAAGTTTTAGAACAGGGTTTATAAAATAAAGCTGCCATCATGGGCTTACTAACTTGAAGCAAAGTTCCTAACAATGCATCCCTTTTAAAACTAGGATTGATGGCCAATGTTGAGTTGTTTTGGTCTAGCAGAGCTATCACTACACAAATTTTCCATTACATGACGGAGCATTAATGGGACCCCTATATGCATACATAAACATACATATACATAACAGACCACATATTACTGCAGGGAATGGTACAAGACACCTATAACCAGTGCAGAAGCAAACAGAACATCTGCATGACATTGATAAGGACTTGGAAGTAAGTAGGTTCCATGTGCAGCCTCTATCAAAAAAAGGTCCCCAAACCCCCAAAACTTTATTACCCAAACAGTGAAAGGGAGAAATGCCAGAAGTTGGAAATGCTTAATGATTCCAATCCACTGTTTAGCAATATGTATGGTGGTGTTTAAATAGGTATGTCTCTAGCACTTACTGATTGAAGCAAGCTGTAATTAGAAAACAAATGCAAGTTGCCCCTAAAATAACTTTCCCTTCTGGGAAGTATGTAATATACACTGTCTTATTTCAAAGTGGAATAAATAGATTAGCTGACCAAGTTGTGTTTGGACTGACAGAAGAGATAAATGTATCCTAATATAATAATTGGATGAAACAAGCAAGTTTAATTTTCTGTAGATCAAAAGCAGAATACAAGAATGTCTCCCACAGAGATTAAGATGAGGCTTTAGACTTAATGGACATGGAATTTAGAGACTCTAAATGCAGCAATAGATACAACAGAGGTGTTCTTTGATCTGAAAAGCTGGTGTTTAAGGTAATAGATGTTTGGAATTAGGCTACAGGAAATGCTCCAGCATCTAAAACAATAAAAATGAAGAATGGTAATTAACATGTAATTGTGTTTTATGGTAAAACCATTCCATAAAAAGTGACGGGTCTGTAGTAATACAGAAAGATTCCAGGGTAACTTTTATTTTGTAAGGAGAACTTACAGTATGTCATCACTGCAAAGTGATTGTGTGTGGCCACCAAAGCACCTACTAAGTACCATAACCTGACAGAAGTAAGCCATTGTTTCCTTTCAGTAAGCTGTGCCATTAGTGCTGTTATTACTAAATAGTAAAGACTTTTCTGCCCTGACACCTCAGGCAACAATGGTATTCCTCAGAGGAAGTGGCAAAGTGCTCTGAGGCACAGCTGATGACGAGCAGTGCTGTGTTAGAGGCACCTGCTAATCATTCTTCCACCAACTCTTTGCTTTGTCTTAAAAGTCCCATGGCACCCTGTGATAATGACAGGGAAAGGATCATGATTTATAGAGTTCAGGTCAGCGTCCTCAACCTTTTTGTTGTTATTGTTCACCTTGGACCAGCACCTGTCCTGCATCCAGACCCACAGACTAGCAATCATAAACAAGGTGGCATACTAGTCATCTTCAACCTTTCCATACTTATGGACTGGCACTGGGTTTAGAAAGTCATAATTCTGGATTTGCACACCCTCTTACCCTCTCTCCTCCAAAGTTGTTCTTACAGCACCCTGAGATGGGGTACAAATCTCAGTATTGTGACTGACCATGAATAAGCTGCTAAAACTTATTTTATCACCACCAAGTTGAGGAGGATGGTGATTAAGTCTTTCTTCAGAAGACTCAGTGAGATAATGCACAGGAGTCTCAATGCTTATTGATCATTGTTACTTATTACAATAAAGTAGGTCAAAGCTTATTTTATTTTCAAATTTTCTTTGAATGGCTTCATAGAATGGAGTATAGAACCTCTTGCCAGACACTCTGCCCATAAGGAAATGAAGTTACATGGTGAAGAGCGGGACACTCCAGAATAATGCAGTAGGATAGTGTGAACATTTGTGTGTGTTTCTGTAGTCTTAAAGAAGTCGATTCCTTAACACTGGAAAAGTCTACATTTTGATATGTATTCATACAAGAGAGTAAAAAAAGCTTCTGAGTGAAGAAAAAAATCCCATCATGATTTCAACAATGTAATTCAAAAGGAAAAATTTGACACTCATCAATGTCTGGGTGACATATATGCACAAAACAAGCCTCATGCGGAACTCAGCTTCCCTTTTTCACATTATGTGCTTCATTAACTGCACTCCCATGATCCAAGCACACTGTGGCACGGGGAAGACGGTGATAGCAAGGCTCCTATCAGTGCAAAGTTTCTTTTCCTCTTTTCTCTATCATCAGTGAATAAGAATTGGCCTACCGTGAGGAATGAGGATTGTCATTCCAAAGACTGCAGGCTGAGATCATTTATTACAGCCTTCAAGCTTACTTTAGTCAAGCTATCATGCATGGTGCAGAGGAAAGATTTGGGACACCAACATAAGGCAGATTTGTGTTTGAATTTTAGGATCCATGGCAATGCTGATTAGGTAGGCAGGTGCATGTGTCAGGTCTCATGAGCTCAGATCGTGACCTTGGACATGTGGGTATAGCAGAGCCTCATTTTCCTTATCTATACAATGGGGAGAATATCAGTAGTGTATAGTGCTGCAGGAATTCAAGCAAGTACTATGTGCTGAGTGACTGCATAAGGTCCTTTTCACTGCATACAACCATATCACTACAAATAATACCAAGCTACTGCAACTGTAAGATGGATGACTCTCATGACTCTTCCCTCCTTTCAGGTAGGAAGCAAAAAGGACCCCAGCTCCCAAAAATAATGAAAGAAAGAAATTTGTTTGTAAAATTAGGAATCTGGTAGATACGCCCATGGCCCTGAATCCAAGGCACCCTGGCATATTCTGTCTTCTGTGAAAAAATATGAAGTTTCTTAAAGGAAATATATTACTTTTTAATATTTTAGATACCAAGTATTTCCATATTCAAAAATAGAAAGTTTCAATAAAGTGCTAATCTTTCTACTTTTGACAAATAAATAATATAAGGATGCCAGACAGAGGTAACATTACTTGTTCCTGCAAAGTGCCAACTACCCTTAGAATCTGTGACTGACCGATTAATGGGAATGTGCAAATCTTTCCAAAGATCTTTGATCTCTTCAAAGAGTATTCTATGTTAAGTTTGTTAAGTTTTTATGACTGCCAAAAGCCTCCCTCTGCATCACTGTAAATCAATCTCTGGCTCCAACTTTGTCTAATTCACTACCTTATCAGATAGAAACTTTGAGATGTGTCATGTGATGAATCAAGAAAATCCCAAAGGTGGTGGAGGGGGGGTGGAAGCTCATATATCAATTAGCAGAATTCCAACAGGGACATGTTCTTGGCAGGCGTGAGCTTTCCTTCATCTCAAGGAACCTATAAATTATCTGCTTTCTCTTCAAATTCTGCAAAAACATTCTGTGACAACTGGAGACACAGTGCAGTGAGGACCTTTCCCCAAGGATAACTGTTTCCCCCACTGTTGCTCTCATATTTTATTTGTATCTAGACTTACTCTTTGATTATTTGCCCAATCATGAAAAGAAAACAGGCATTTTCTGTATAGAATCTACATTTTAGGGGGGGAAAGTGAAAAAATAAGATTATGCCTTATTTGTGTAAGTTTCTCATCCCACAAGCTGAGAGCTGCAAATGTTGTATGGACTTCTCAACTATTTGTTGAATGAGAAAAATGTTAATTCATTCGTCTCAGTACCAAAGGTGTTCTTTTTTCCTAAGAATAAGAAGGGTAGTGACAGCAGTTCATAAAAAAAGGCTGAAATTCTGATCATTTAGCTATACCAAAGGAGTCTACACCTCCTAGGTACTGGCAAGCAAACCATCAATCTCTCAGAAGTCTTACATTTACAACAAAACATGACATGGTATGCATAGCCTATAGTAAGAGAAAGTAGAACAGTTAAGTATAAGCAAGGATGTGAAGCAATTGATCTCAACATTGCTCCCACCCTTAGATTGGAATTATATGTCCCTAAGAATTAAGAACCTTCCTGTGAACCTGACTAGAAGGACTCAGCACAGCCCAGAGCTGTTTCTATCTGGTAGCTGAAGCAGAAGAGCTCTAGGTCTCAAGCTATGTAACATTTTGTTGTGTGTAAATTATTGAATATTTGATCAGGTTGAGGATCTGTGCCTTGATGAGAGAAATGGAAATATTTTCTCTTTCTCCACCTCTTATGAACAACGAGTGGAAAACATCTTTCTTCATCTTCACATACTTTACTTGTTTGTCGTTTGGGCAGATAATCTACAATCTGTAGTTGAACAAAAATTTTCAAGGAAATTATTTTTTATCTATCATGGATCAATATAACATTGATGTATCATTTTCCTCCCCTTCCCCCAAATTTTGGTAGGTTGAATGTACCATTCCCTAAGCAATTACAAAAATATCACTCAAAAGAGAATATACTTTGTACTTGATAACATGGTAATTATATCTGTGTCTAGCAAGCTAATGGGACTCTATTAACTAGAACAAGGCAATAAGAACCATCATTGGTGCTTCACGAAGGTTTCAATTTGTGCCCAGATGAATTACATCACTGGGGAGTAGCCTCTTTGACTACAAGAGATCATGTACCATTGTAAGGTGGTAGGACTTGAAGCCAATTATTTCCCCTGCCAGGAAATACTAGCTCACTGCAGTTTATGGGCTGTACTAGGGCATGGCCTACCAAAACATTGAGTCTCAAATATTATTATGGAATTTTCCTTTTTCTGCACTATTAAAAATATATGTTGTTCTGAGTCCCACACAACTAGACACACACACTTTTCTTATAGAATATTTGTAGAAGACACACTTGTGTTTTCCATGCTTCAGTATGCTTGAGCCGAATTTACTTACACAGAGACATCATAAATAAGATTGCTCCCAGCTTGTCAGACTTACATGACTGCCACTAAAATACACCAATGATATCTATTGGGACTTGATTTTTGTCAAACTAGTCAGTAATTTTATAAATAGTATTTTAAAATATATTTTACCCATAAGAAAAATAAAAGTTACATGGAATGGGAAATGTATTATTTATTCTGGGAATTATTTGGGAAAGACAATACTGAATATTTGGTTCTGGGAGCAATCCATTTTTCTTTCCAGTACACTTTAGGACAATTCATGCCTACATCACAACATGCCTTCACCACAAGAAAAAAGAATCAAAGACCCAAAGCAAATAGCAGAGGTGCAACCACTGTGACCATTGAAGATGCAAAGTGTTGCAGTAACTTCTCGCAGTTGGATCATATCAATAATGCCAAACTGACAGGAAGCCACCTCTATTTTCACACATCTACTCAAGAAATCACATAAGAATCTGACTTTTGAAAATGTTCCAGATACACACACACACACACACACACACACAATTACAAACACAAACAGGTGACAGTGATTGTAGCTATGGAGAAAAAACAAGTCTTGAGAAAATGAATAAGTAGGCATCTCAAGAGCATGTTTTCAACAATACACTGTTGGAGAACACATTACTGAAAAACTACACTAGAAATATTAACCCCCAAATCAAAAAATGACATTGATGATGATGTAGTCATGCTTCATGCAACACAAAACAGCAGCAAGACAAAGTGAGATCATATGGTGAAAGTAGAGGCACTTCATATTAAGAAATATGCCCAAATATGCACAAAAGAAAAATATGGCCATGAGTTTGTCTCAATAAACAGTACTTATTCCATAAACCAAATGTGATCATCTGTCAATTTCGTGGGGATACTCTTTATTGAGTACTGCCCGATGGGTGAAATATGCATATTACTGTCAGCAAGGTATGTGGATGGAAGAAGAGTTAAACATAAGGGCTTGGTCTCTGTTTTGTGGATAAAAGGACATGAATTCTGCTCTACAGGCTGGAAACTAGACACAGAGGAGTTCACTGGGAATGTGGATGTGGCATGTAGACAAATGGCACCACAGAGTCTGGTGGACACCAAGACACAGCAGGACAGGACAAAACAGACACCACGGGTTGGAGAGACGCATCCTCCTTTTCAACTTTAATATCATTTGTTCCCAGCATTGGTGCCATGACTCAAAATAGGGTCGTGCCTTTTGCTTTTTGTAAGTTTCCTGCAAAGAAGTTAGTGCGTCATTCAAAAGAATTAACAAATCAAACAAGAAAAGCAATATGCTAATTTCAACTGGTATGTACTCTAGTGGGAAAGGGCACTGTATATAAAATATACATAGATATACTAGACAAGGGAATGAGATTATATATAATATACATATATCCATATATATGTATATATTATCTCTATCTTCCTGAATTCTTGGCAAGTGGTTAGTCCTGTCGTTAGAAGTGAAGATAGATAGTGGATATTGGGAGGAAAGTTAGCGAAGAATGCATACCGCTTTCGGCTTCTGCAAAACGACAAGAAAAGAATTTAAAATCAAACAATTTGATAATAAATTGATTGACACAAGAAGGAAAGAAGGCATAAAAACCTTTGTTTCAAATTTGAAGGATGCATGTGAAAACAAGGTTTTCCAGCAAAGCATGAAAACACTACCATGAGATAAAACAATAACAGAGGTAGTTAAACAAGTTGGAGGCAAGGGGGGTGGAAAGGAGAAGCAGAATTCTATGAAGTTTAACATCTGGTCACGTGGAAAATGTGAAAGTAAAAGAAAAAGGGGACTTTGTTTTAATGAAGGTAAAATTCTAAGTTGTTATCAAGGAAGTGTCAAAAACTGGATTCATTTAAACATGGAGATCTCTTGCTACCCCCTGTGTTTTCTCAGAGGCATGATCCACATTCCTTCAAACACAATTTTTTTTCCACAAGAACCAATGTGCTTCCACACTGAGACCAAGCCACAGTTGAGTGTTAAAGCTGGCAGCTGCACATAGAAAGCCAAAACATAGCCAAACAAGTTTCTTTACTTTTTCTTTAAAAAGACTACCTATGTCTATAAATATGCCTTCATTGAAAATATTTTATTTTTGTAAATTAATTGGAGGGTTCATTAAAGAAAAATATTTGTCCTAGAGGAGAGCTCTGTACTCGTTTCCTAAGAATGGAGGTAGGGGGTCCGTGGTAAACCATTTACAGTCCTTTCTCTCCATTCCTGGGATCAGAAATGCAGCAGGCGGGAGGTAAGGAGTCAAGGTTCATGATGCCATCTCTCCCATAAAATTATTCTCAAATGGTCAAGAAACATGATTCAGCTCAGCCACATCTTGACACATTTTTGAAGATAAGCACAGATGTAAAAACTACAGCAAACGTTGATTTACACATAGGTTTACTGACTTGGCAACACGAAGAATATCATTGCAAATACTCCAGATACACATCTTCCCCAACACAGGTCCAGGTGAGTAGTGGCAACAACATAGACAAGAAACAATTCCAAGAACAGCCACAGCAAAGAGTCAGCACTCAGGTAATTTGTGGGGTTTTTTTTTGACATATAATATTCTTCACTGTGCCAACACAGAAAATAAAAAATATGTCTCTATGTACATATTTGGTTTTGACTATAGCCATATTCTATGTGTTCATCAAATCTACCAATTCTTTCTTCCTTTTGGCCGATTTGGCTTTTCAAAATAGCTTAATAATCAATCAGGTTGATTTTGTGAGCAATCTGATCTTGGTTATAGTCATGGTTAGTGGAGAACATTGGACTGACTTTCTTCCAATCCACAGGGGCATTTTGTTTGTTTTGTTCTTTGGTCAGAAAGACACATATTGTGCATTTAGAATTCTGGCCTCACTGAATCATATATCCAGATAAAGAAAGCCCCTCACAAGATGACAGTGGAACTCTCTAGTCTTCCCCTGTGATCTGTTCTGTTATTCAGGCATCTGCTGGGGGTATAGATCTACTCTACACTTGGGAGTCTGCAGAAAGATTTGCTTCCCGTAGCGAGAGCAAATCCTGCATGCCATCTCAGAGGACAAAAGCCCAAGCATTTCCAATGAGTTATCTTTCTCCAAATCTACTGATAAAAATCGGGGAGCAAAAATCATCCTACTTCATCTGTGAAATACATTGGACTTCACCACCAAAATTTCCAGGTCCTTTTACTCTTGTGATGCTTCTTTATTCCAGCATGAACATATATTGACTAGGGTGTTATCTATTTCAACCAGACCCATTCTTTCATCAGTCTGATTTTCACATAATTAAGTACAAAATAAATAAATAAAGAGAGCTTCTGCCTGTGAGCCCTGTTCTCCTGGCTTATTTGAATGAAACTGATACTCTGCCACCTGGATTTTGTTTGCACTGAGAGAAGCACATATGGTACACAATAGGCTGCATGTAATTTGGCTATCAAGAGAGCGAGTATCTCCCATCACAGTTCTGCCCTATGCCTGCTTGAAGGAGGCCAGAATCAACCTGATTTTTGCTCATAGCAATTAGAGAAGGCTTTTAGGTCTACCCAAGTTTTATGCTTAGAGAATGAAAAGTGCAAGCTGGCATAATTGGTGGAGATCTGCATGTCTCAGCCCTTTCCCCTGGACAAACTCTGAATTCCCAAGAGTGCATCTGGGACAGATGGGCAGGGTCTGGTTAAGCAAGCCTTGACATATGCTGAAGTCAGAAAGGTGTGGCACCAAGCAAATAATGTGTAAGAAAGAAGAGGACTGACCGTTCCCAGAGATGATTCTCTGGATCAGTCGCGACAAACTTACCGACTCTCACGGTTGGCGGACTTATACTCAATGGCTATCATTAAGAGCTTGAGCTTCACAAAACACAGCCTGCAGTGAGATGGAGAAATCAACCAGTCAGTGCTGCAGAATGACCAGAACTGCAACAAACATTGGCTATCTCCCAATGCAACCAAAGACCAAAGAGCCTCATTTCCCCCCTACACACACACACACACACACACACACACACACACACACACACACACACGTCTGATGCCTTATAAGTGATATGATACTGAATGCTTAAAGTTCATATTGCACTCATGTCTGGTCGTCTACACACAATTCCCAAACGGGGATCTGTGCCCTGGGATTTACGCTAAGCTAGATTCTTAGTTACTCCATTGGGTAGCAAAATGTTGACTACAGTGAGAGGGAAGTATTTGAAGCAGCTGGTCCTGTTATTGGATTACATTTTGGTCCTTTGTACAAATGGCTCATACTGTTGTTCTGAACAGACCCTTGTGCACTCAGAATGATGGTAATAATCTTTAGTCTGGGTGTAAGTGCCCTGCATGTGACAATGGCACTGTCACTGCATGCGCGTTCCAAACTCTCTCACCTCATCTGCCCAGAGCTCTTACCCACAGCCCATTCTGCACTGAGGCCGGTCCTGGCTCAGGTCTAAGCCTTTGCACAGTCATTCCATCTCATTAGAATGCTTTTTCCCTTCCTCCACCACATACTTTCAAGTTAAATCTGCTTTCCATGTGGGTCTTCTTCACCTACTGACCCCACCCTCCTGGTTCTCTTTCATTACCAGAACTCTACCTCATTTGCAAGCACACTGGTATTATCCCATTCTTGGTCCATTTTATACTGGCTGTGCTTACTTCCAAATGTTCTTTGTGTCTGAACTTTGTCTCCTCAAGCAGCTTAAATCCGTTAACCATTCTGGACTAGACTGGACTTCCTACACTGCTATACATGTAACCTCTGATACAGGGAAGCTCAAAAAACACATAATTTGCATCTCCTAGGGCTCAATACTAAAAGATGAACCAATAAAATTGCACACAGGTGTCCAAGTTAGTTTTATTTATGCAGAATAAAATATTTAAGTAAACCTTAATATTCAAAAATAAGATCATGGTTAAACCAAGAGTGTATAATATAGTATTATGCAGCACTAAATATGAGTTTTCAAAGACTATTTCAAGGCATAAGATCAATAATAGTATATCGATATCAATATGATGCATTTAGATGAAAATACACTACAAAATATTATATCCTGTACACAAAAATTCACATATACAAAATAGTTACCTAAATTTTATATTACAGGTTTCTACAATAAGCATTATCACAGAATTTATAGAAGGTTTGAAAAATAGAACATTAGCTAGCTGATTGGGTGATAAGTTGATGGTTACTCAGCTCCAGCACTGTGAAAGGAAGAAGGTTCTAAACTTTCTCAGTGGTCTCAGTTAATCTCAATATACCTATGAAGGAGGTAATGATACTCATGGTTCAAACTTTTGTTGACTTTGCTATTTTTACAGGTGATGAAATTAAGGCCTAGAAATCCCAGCCAGTACACCTGGAAGTGTATACAACATTTACTTATTCCTTATTGTATGTTGGGACAGAGAGGCACTAAATAATGTAAAAGTGAATACATAACTGTTTTCCAGGTGATGACAAGTACTAAATAGAAAGTAGAAGACCCTAAAATGACAGAGTCATGAGGAAAAGTCTGTCATCTATACTGGCCCAAGGGTATGATTCTGAATAGGTGATGCTAGAGCACAGAGCATTTGAACAGAAAAGAGGCAGGCAATTAAGAGAATCTGGGGAAGGAGCCTTCTAGAAAGTGGGCATAGCTGGAGTGGAGGCTGTGAGGTAGAATAGAGCATAGGTGTTAAGGGTCACAACAAGGACTATGGAGACAGCTGCTTAGCTGGCCAGGTGATGATGATTGGTCAAGGATTTAGGCAGAAGTAAGATCATGAAAACTTCGCCGGTCATAGGTAGAAGTCTGCAGCTTGTTCAAAGTAGAATGGAGGTTTTAAATAGAAACTCATAATCAGTTGTGCTAGTCATGTGAATCTGCTGCTAACAGGTAAACTGCTGGTCTCATGTTTTCTGGTGGGAATGATATCAATTGCTCATTACTGCATGTGAGTTCATGGTTCCCTAAATATTACTTTTTAACAAATAGTCTGATTTCAAAGGACCACTTGCATCCCGGCATATTTGGGCTCTCGGTGATTTGCAGGCTTACTGATTCCTGCCAGCAGACTCTAATGACCTGGTCTTTGTGCTGATTATGCAGTTTACTAAAACACCAACCCATGTATCCAATACAGCTGGAAAAATGCCTTTCTTAATTTATGTCTTATAGTGTACTGCTAACATGCACCCTTTATAGAGCTGTTACTTGTGGAACTTAAATTGTCTAAAATATCAGATAGTTGATGCAATATTTGTTGAACCAAATCACCAGATTAAGTAACTAATTCCAAATGTAGAGAGCAGTAAGTGCCAAAAACTCAAGGAAAGGGCTGGCCATAATTTAATAGGGATCATAAAAGAGCAAATTTTCTGATATCCAATGAACAACAAATGTTCTTATTTGGGATTATGGTGGTTCAAGGGATCAAGAATCTTAACTGCTTAAATGGATCTGATCCCACCAATGAGAAGAAAAAATGGTTCAGAAAATATGTATCCCTAGATTCTAACTTACTCTTTACCAATTAGGTAGGTATAAAAAAAGGAAAATAAAAGTAAATTCTACAGAAAGTGTCCTTGAACACATTTCTGAATTAAGCAGGGAGTGGGCCAGCAAACTGAGTCATCCTTCATTATTTTCAAATCCATGCCTATCAACAATGATACACTGCCTCGTACTGAGCCAGAGAGAAAGTACAGTGGGCAAGGTGTTTTCCCTGCATGCAGCTGACCTGGGTTCTGTCCCTAGCACCCCATAATGTCACCTGAGCCCACCAGGAGTTTCTCTGAGACACAGGAAGAAGTCAGTCCTGAACACTGCTTGATATAGCCAGAAAACCAAAACCACATCAACCAAACAACAAAAAAAATCACTACCCTATAGATGTTTTACCTTTTATAATTTTATTTTTAAATTTTAGTTTATTCTTTTTAATTTATAATGCTATTAATAGTATTAAAACCAATGGATTATCAGGGATATAATTCCAACACCACACCCATTACAGTGTACCCATCTCCCTCCCCAAAGGACACCAACCCCCTCTTTCTCAAGCCCTTCAACTTCATTGTGTTGATCAATTCCCCTATTATGTTCCCTTTGGATGTTTGTTGCTATTTTGCCATGTATTTTTAAACCCCACTTATGGGGGAAGAGGGAGAGAGAGAGATTCTTTCTTTTAAATAGGGTCACTCCCACAGGTGTGCAGTGCAGCAGTATAGACTTAATAGTTCAGTACTCTCTGGTGCCAAGTGCCAACAGGGCTATTCCCACCAGAGCTCTGAGGGGGTCATTGTAGTGCCTAAAACCAAATTCTGAGTAATATCTCGATACCTAGAAGTGTCTGAAGAAGTACTTTCCTTGTCAAATGAGACCCTAGTCTCTACCCAAATGAACAGAGAGAGAAACAGTGATATAAACAAACTGATAAACTAACCACACACTTTTGGCAATTCGAAATGGGCCAACCCTTTCCTGCTTATCTAGCTGACAGGTGGAGATTCGAAGAGAAGACCTAGTGGCTGGCCAAATGACCTTGGAATGAAAATGCCCAGAGTAGAAATCAAGCCTCAGTGCAGGGTGCTGCACAGAAGTTGCTTGTAAAAGTGGAGGGAAAGGAGTGATGGCCACGAGCCTAAACTGCAGACACGTTCTGTTAGTTCAATCTGGTGTTATTTAAAAACTAAAATTAGACTCTGACAGGTGATTTCATATAAAAACTAGCTTTACAGATTTCCTTGGAAAACCAGCATGTTCACATTAGAAACACACATTCCGTATGCCTAAAGGGACTGGTGCTTCGATGTACGGGACTTGCTCGTGTGGGTAGAATGTGTCATCTCCAACAAGCCATAATCCCAACCACTCCTGTTATCTCAGACCTACCCACTCTTCATTCTTTGTTGCCAACTGCTTGCTCCCTAAGGCAGTGAAGTGTATAATCATCTTCTGTGGGTGTATTCAAAATATACATCTGAATTATAAACAAAATACACTGGAAACAGAACTGAAGAAACAGTCTTGCCTTATTTATTCTATTGATGAGATTTTTCTAGAGAGTTGTTCAGGGTGTTGGGCTTAATGATACAGCAAAGATGCAGTCTCTGATGAAGATTCTCTGAGGAAGAACAATTCAAAAGGAATAAACAGGCACCTGGAGTGTGTATGATGTATATGGAGTGTGCAGGATATGGTAAACAGTTGTGTACTCAACTCTCTAGCATCTAGACTGAGATTCTTCAGGATAAGACACATATACTTTGACTCCCTGGCATTCAGCAGAGTGCGAAGAGGAAGCCTTCAATGGGTGCTTTTTTTCTTTTGGGGTCACTCCTGGCGATGCTCAGGGGATACTTCTGGCTTTGCACTCAAGAATTATTTCTGGCAGTTTTGGGAGATTACATGGGATGCTGGGGAGAGAACCCAGGTTGGCTGCATGCAAGACAAATGGCCTACTCACCACACTATTGCTCCAACTACTCAATGGGTGTTTATTAAATAAATGTATGGATAAATGGGGGAAGCAGAGTCTCATGAGTTGCAGGAATAAATAATATAGTGAACTAAGAAAGCCTACATTAGCAGAGAAGATATAAGAGAGAGATCTGAATCATTAAACAGATTCTGCATTTATCTGGTAGAAGCAGGGAGATTGGGAAAGAGGAATATAGCTAGAAATAATACCAGTGATTTACCCTGAGAATTTAGTTTTTGCCTTCAATCCACTAGGTCAAAATGTAAGTATAATTCTAAGTAATGTGGTCCTGGACAGATCCCTCTATAAGAGTTTCAATCCCAAGAATATGACTTGAGGTCCTCAAAATGATCCCTAAGATAAAATATTTACTGGCTTCATCAAATACCACTTTCA